AAATTATGTACTTTATAGCACTCTCCGGGAAATTCTACCCCTACTTTGTATGTACAATTCTTTGAGATATGATCATTCGGAACCGGTTTCCAAAAAAATCGGTAACGAAAAATTATGTACTTTATAGCACTCTCCGGGAAATTCTACCCCTACTTTTTATGTACAATTCTTTGAGATATGATCATTCGGAACCGGTTTCCAAAAAAATCGGTAACAAAAAATAGTACACTTTATAGCATTCTCCGGGAAATTCTACCCCTACTTCATGTATAATTCTTTGAGATTTAATCAATTATGTCCCGAAAAATTAAAAAAACCGGTTTCCAAAAAGATCGGTAACAAAAACTGTACACATTATGGCGCTCGCCGTAAAATTCTACCCCTACTTCATATACAATTCTTTCAGATTCGGTCAATTAATTCCCGACAAATTGGAAAAATTTCTATTACCGGCTTCCAAAAAGATCGGTAACGAAAAATTATACACTTTATAGCACTCTCCGGAAAATTCCACCCCTGTTTCATACGTAATTCTTTGAGATTCGGTTAATTATTTCAGGAAAAATTGAAAGAATTAAAAAAATCGGTTTCCAGAAAATCGGTAGCAATAAACTATACACTTTATGGCACTCCCCGGGAAATTCTACCCCTGTTTCATGTACTCGTGGTAAAAATTCGGTCCACTAACGAATGAGTAGTTCGCGGACAGACGGACAGACGGACGGACGGACGGACGGACGGACGGACAGACAAACAGTCGCGTTTTATATAATAGTAATGATAATATAACAATGTAACCAATACATGTTTACATTAATACATCAATTACTTATCATTTTTACGATAAATAACTGACTTTAAAAATTTTTTACAACATACAAAATATCTTGCTTTATACATTTTTTAATATTTCTGTAGTTCTAATAACTGCGAGATTGTGTTAAAATAATTTTAATGTCATATTTTATGATGATTGTACAAGTGTTCACAGCGCATTTTAATTAAATCTATAACATACAAATTTCAGATCTATATATTTTTCATTTTATGTACACGAATTTTGAACATTGCATGATTCTCTTAAGTATTTACGCGTCAATCTCCGACAATCTCTGTTTTTAATGTATGACATAGAAGTTGAAAATATAAGGATTTAAGGAAAATTAAGGACATGAGACTTTTAAATATCTCTTATAAGTTTACCTAGCAAACTCATAAGATTAAGCACATATTTCAAAAACTAGTTCTTTATAGAAGCTTATTATTTTAGAAATATATTATTAGTATTTTTTTAAATATAATATACAAGTTATAAAAGTTTGATCTTATGTTTACTCCATTTATCCTCCTTTTTGTTATATTATATTAAAATGTTCTAGTAATTATATTCTTTTTGCTGTAATATAATTATATGCATATAAAATATTGTTATTGTTGTGAAAAATAAAGTTTGCGTGCGTCAATAAATAAAAAGTTAAATAGTTGGACGATAACGTTGATAATTCATGTTCTGTTAATGCGTAAAACAATGTCTATTTCACATAAAAAGATGTCTATATTAGAATAAATGTTATACTATTATGCCATTTTTTTTAAATAAACACAATTAATCAAACGTAAGATTTACAAAAGTAATGTAAACAGAGTGAATCTGTAATGTCGCAATTTTATCACCAAAAACACTATAATAATTAATTATTTCTATTGTGTCACGATAACTAATGTATGAAAGAAACTCATTAACATTTAAAATTAACATTTACATGTTTTATATTTGATAATAAAAATTTCATTTGTCATCCAATGTATATCCAATGTAGGGGCGAAGTCGGCCCTATTTTTTCGGTGCCGATTTTTAACAACAAAAGAAATCATTTTAGTAAAATATAATATATTATTGTAAAGAGTGAACCCTTGGCTACAAAATTTATATAGGCATTTTTGGTCTACATCGCTTTGTTCAACCGGTATAGAGTAAAAACGACAAAGGTGCAAAAATCAAAAAGTCAAAATTCCCGGGGCGGAGTTGTTACACCCCCCGGACGGCATCCAAATGTGCTATATCATTATTATTCTTTCTCAGCCAGTCGGCCAACGTAGAGCTCGGGACGCCAAATTCTTTTACGGCTATTTTTATCTTAATATTATCTTTCTTTACTGGAAGAACTGCCTTCTTAAGCTGCTCCTTGTCGACGGCAGCCGTTTTGCGATGGTACGTGCGTACCATTTTCCTGCAGTTGAGAAATACAATGACGCATTTGAAACGGAAAATAGAGTGAAACCACTGGGATGAGTCCGCTCCGGTGGTCACGACTTTGCCCCGAACACAAGTTTTAGGTTTGGTCGCTTATAAAATAATAAAAATCAATGAAAATAAAAAAACTGCACTGGATTCGTGTTCAGCATGCATTACTCTTTAGAATCACTTACTTTGAGATTCGGAGAGACAATAATACTTAAGATACTACAAACTTTCGACGCGGAAGAAATTTTACTTTTGACCTGCGAAAACACGTTTGCTTCGATAAGAATCACAACATGGCACGTAACCTCACTAAACTCCGTTATTCACGTGGGCACCATAAGCCGCGTTTATAGTATTAATGGCGAGTTGAACACAACATACAAATTTTGAGATAATTGCAAAAACGACTCCGCCCCGGGGCCGACTTCGCCCCGGTCTCCTCTAATATTAAACATTTCATTCATAATTCATATTTCGAGGTAAAATTAAAAAAAAATTTTATTTCTAATTTTAGACATCAAATAAATTATAGATATAATGGATATATAGAAATAATGGATAAATAATATATGAACATTATAATAGTTATATGGATATTATAATAATTATACAAGGCGATCAGCGATCATTCATTGAGATTTTCTCTAGAATAAAGGTAGGAGAAAAATTCAGAAATAATTTGAATGGTTCAATACTATAACTTCAAGTATCGAGTATATGTATGTACAAGCAGGGGAGATCGGGGCTAGAAGTTACACATATTAGTTGTCACAAAGCTTATATTTCATTTAATAGATTGAGTGGCATATTTTTCTCTATGGTGTGGGTTGAACCTCATGTTAATCGTGTGTACGAAATAGCTCGTTGCATAAACATTGTATGTAATATTTACGAGCTCTTTTTAAAAATTTGACGTAGTAAGTAAATTTTTTTTGGTAAATATTTACCTTTACACAGCCCCCGCCAATGACTTTGACCTTGACATATGTTGTCAAGGTCACCCTCCTGAGTAATCTTCAGAAGGTTTTAGCCGTCGCTCGTTTTTTATTAAAAAATTATTCACAAAAAAAGTTTGGAAAATATACGAATGTTATTTTTTATGTAACATGACTTTGTTGTTTTAGTAAACTCTTGATAAGGACACAAACCTAGTGTCGAAACGTCGAATTAATGTAATACTACGATATTAAACGTCAATTAATTACTCTTGTTAATTTTCACTGGCGAAGAAAAGAAGTTTATATTTAATCATATGTAACGTTACGTAAGATCGCATTTCGTAAGAAATCAAGTTACATAATGATACATATATAATTACATTTTTCATCTGTTTTGTCAAGTTTGTAATCTTGTTGTTAGCCATTCTGTTAAATTCTATGCCTATATAATATAATTAAATAAAAACTTATTATTGTGTGTGTAATGATGACCTAATTTCGACATGTTATCAATAGATATGTTATTCGTTTTTGGAATTATAACATGTTACAGTTATCAAATTTGTTATGACTATTATATGAACCAATTTATCACGTATGTTTGTCATAATTTTTGTATCAAATTTAGAATAACTAATATTTCTAGAATTTTATTAAAATTTCCACTAGTTTTATAGCTATATTTCTATTTTATACATTCTTTCTTTGCGCATGTAAAATTTTGTTGCAAATGCTGCAAATATAAAATTTTTCTATTTTTTCATTTCGTACTCACCGGTCTCATTTATATCCCAAACGATGACGATGGCGCCCAAGTTGGCCAGCCTGAGGGAGAGAAGCCTCCCCAATCCTCCGCCACCTCCTGTCACGAGAGCGATTTCACCATCTATGCTCTTCATTTTGTACCTCTTAGGAATGAATGACTTGACGATGCCATCCAATATCGCGAAGATCGACAACAACAGGAAGATAATCACTTCCCCAATTGATCGTAAATATGTCATATTGGCCCTGTACGCACGGCAAATTTCATGCGCGTTGTCTGTCTTGCGTAAGGCCTGCGTAAAACCGAATTGACAGCTTTTGCTCGATGAGTCCTTTGCGCGGCTTCTCTGCAACTAAAGTTATTGATCGTTTTAGTCTGATATTTTTTAAACCGCACTGTGTTGAAGCTGTTTTAGAACTTGCAGAGTGGCGACCAACGATTACAGCCGAAGGCTCGATGGCACTATACGTTTGATCTGAAATATAAAAACATAGTTTTCAGATAACTCATTATCACGCTTATAAAAAGAAAACAGATAACAGGAATAATTTATATCTCCGTTGAGTGTTTTTTCCTGAAGTGACTATCAAGAGGCATGATAATACTCAACGCGTTAAATATAAATACAGTAGACCTATCCGTATAATACGAGGAATGCGTTTCATGTTATATGAATCCGTGTTATACAAGTCACATAAATTATACATATATGGATTATGTATGTCTATAAAAACATATTTAAAAACATATTAAAAAATGAGAGGGTTTATTATAAAAAATGTAAAATAAATATTAAAGATGTAATAGTAAAATTTTTTATTTTACTTTAAAACAAACAAATATTAAAACTTTTCCGTCGTATTATACGAATCCGAGTTATATGAACCTCTCTTAGATATATGAGGGTCTAATAAATGTAGGATTATTTAAAATTCGGTATTTTAAGGCTCCTGTTTACTCACTGCAGCCATTTTGGATTGATGACGTTAAAGCAAGAAATATAATAAAAATTCTTGCGATATATACATTAGAATAAAAATGTTTTTCAATAACATAGGATTTGTTATTGATAGAATAGACTTGTAAAATATACTGAAAACTCTCTTTTTGTTTGGGTAATCCACATATGTCGAATGGAATTTGCATAATCAAGGGCGAAAATAAGCCGTTTGACAGCTACCGGATTGAAATAAATATTTGCTTTCATATATTAAATTATGACAAAATGAGAGTCTCTTCGGTATATCTTAATTAATACTCTACGACAATTATTGTAAATATAAAAACACTGCACTAAAACGAAAAATAACACTGTAAGTCGCAAGAATATAATTTTTAACGTAATTTTTCACGCTTTTTATTTCACAATTTTGCCAGGTGTGATACTGTGTGTATTGTCAACACAGACTTGGCAATCGAGCCAGTGGGAGCCTTAAGGGGGTATTCTTGTCTAGAATTCTGCTTTTGAAGGTGACTTTTAGAATAGGATAAATTTAAAACTGTTCGAGTTTTCTTTCTGAAATTTTTTACACATATTTATTGTTGCTTTAAAAACATGGGCACGAACACGATAACCGGGGCCCCTTGATTTGACTGTGGTTTCTGGTAGTATTTTTTACGCTGAACAAAAAATTATATAGGTCTTATAGGGCTAACTGCTTTAGTTTTCGAGATATGCAGTATTAAAGCTGCGTGAACTATTTCGGGACTACCGCACCTTCCCCGAAAGCACGGGGGGGTGTGCGTGAACCTCGGTTCGCGTGGAAAGTGTATGCGTGAACTATTTCGGGACTACCGCACCCCCCCCGAAAGCACGGGGGGGGGGGTGTGCGTGAACCTCGGTTCGCGTGGAAAGTATATGCGTGAACAATTTCGACATATATATTAGTTATTATGCTTTCCAATACTCAAAATAGCTGCTATATTTTCAAAACTTTTTTTTGTTAATAACTTTTTAATGAATAACGAGCGACGGCTAAAACCTTCTGAAGGTCACTCGGGGTCGTGACTTTGACAACATATATCAAGGTCATTGAAATCGGTGAGGTCGCCCTTAATCTAAACATTTACCAAGTTATATTTATTTTGAACTTTAATACTGCATATCTCGAAAACTAAAGCAGTTAGCCCTATAAGATCTATATAATTTTTTGTTCAGCGTAAAAAATACTACCAGAAACCACAGTCAAATCAAGGGGCCCCGGTTATCGTGTTCTCCCCAAAACATGTATAAATTTTGTTGGAAAAAATATAAATATGTGGTTTTGTACGCTCGGGCACAAATGGTGTGTTTCTGATTGGCGACCATATATTGCGGACGTTGTGCGTATCTGGAAAAAAAACTAAACATATTCTTAATTTGCATGAGTATTGTGAGAGATTAAGAATATGTTTGGTTTTTTTTTCAGACACATATAACGTCTGCAACACTGGTCGCCAATCAGGGTTTTTTTCCGCGCACCATTGTGCCCGAGCGTACAAAACCACATGTTAAATTTTGTTTTCAACAAATATTTATATATGTTTTTAAAGCAACAATATGTGTGAAAAAATTCAGAAAAAAAACTCGAACAATTTTAAGTTTATTCTATTCTAGTCACCTCCAAAACAGCATTCTAGACAAGAATACCCCCCTTAGCTTCCTTAAGCCTTCGGTATATTTTACAAATCTATTCTATCGATTACACAAACGCTGTCTTATTGAAAAACATTTTTATTTTAATGTACGTCACAAAAATGTTTATGATATTTTTCTCGCTTCTGACGTCATCAATCCAAGAAGGCTACAGTGAGTGAACAGGAGCCTTAAATCTAAATTTTAGTTATAGACGCGCGTGCGTTATTAATTTTTTTCAATTTTGTTTTATTTCTGTCAATATATTCGATCAGTTATTCACATATATTATTATATTTACTAGCTTTCTTATGTATTTTATACTTTTAATTTTATAATTATATACAAATTGTAATCATATAAATGTAATCGTAATCTTTCATAACAATCAATCATATAATATTTAAAAATAAGTTTTTAGATTATTTAATTTAGAAAGATTGATGTGCAAGATTATATTTGTGTGTGTTTTTAACATACACGGTTCGATACTAGAAACAATAATAGTTCGAATGTCTTATATAACTTCCTCGACATTGGAACATCCTGCCAGTAATGTTGTATACTTCAGCTTTCATCCAGCATGTATACATAAGCTACAGTGTTATGTAGTTTAAGAAAGTGAACTGCTAACTTCGTCGAGCGTCTTATTTAGTAAATCAAGAAGACCGTGAAAATGCTGCATTAATATACCGACCGTGAAAACTATTAAGAGACAATATAATTATTATACATTTAACAACGCGATCTAACGATAGATATTGTGACCTTCTTTCTTCGAAATCATAAATTTAATCCTTTGTTTGTTTCCGAGATATAATTAACCCAAAATAATATATCATTCACGTTCTAAGAAACATAAATCTATTTCATATATACATTGAAACGCATTATATTTTTATTTACAATAACAAATTATATCTCTTTATAATATAAATAGGAAATATGAATAAAAGAGTTATCTCCTTAAAATATCTATTTGAAAAAAGAATTTGTTGAAAATATCACAAACAATTTAAGATGTTACAGAAAACAAGTAACGTATGAAAGTATTTCTGCCTCCAACATTGATAATGATTGGCGTAAATAGTATAATATAGTCGTATACAATGCAACAATGAAAATAAAAAATATGCACGTGTAAACATTTCAGACTTGTATACATTTAACTGCTAAAACTAAATTGCTAATTCCTTAAATTTTTTATGTAAAGTGTAATATAATTTTAATTCTTTTAAAATACTAGAGAAAAACACACTATAAGGTACAAATTAGAATTTCGATCATAATGAATTACACATACTTATTGATATGCGTATACGCAAAATTCTACGCATGTACTACAGAATTGGTGACTTAAATACATACTTTACTTATGTACTTAAGTTATCAATTCTGTACATGCGTAGAATTTTGCGTATACGCATATCAATAAGTATGTGTAATTTGCATTATAATCGAAATTCTAATTTGTATCTTATAGTGTTTTTCTCTAGTGTGTTTTAAGAGAATTAATAAAAATTGTATTTAACCTACAAAACATGCTATTTTAGGGTGCGAAAATACTATAAAATGCCATCAATGCGTGCGCGTTAGTAGGACTATATTCTTATTTTGGATATAAGAATTGTAGATGCCTTATACATAAGGCGTTAACAATCTATTAATTATAGAAGTATGTATACACATACATACAGTAGAAGCTCTCTTTATTCGAATGCGAATGGAACAAATTCGAGTTATAGAGGTTTTATATTCTTCAAGCTTTGAAACTTCTTTCGAGATGTAAAAGACAATTTTGAAATAATTCAAGTTGTAGAGGTAAAATTACAGGAAATTAATGTATTCGCAAGTACTTCGAGTTAATATTATATTTTTCTTCGACTTATAAAGATCGACCTATAAGAAATGATTGAAATTCAAATTATAGAGGTTTTCGAGATAGAGAGATTTGTACATGTATGTACCATATATCTACATATGTATATATATACATATATAATATTTATTTGTGTGTGTGTGTGTGTGTGCGCGTGCGCGCGCGCGCACATGCACACGTAATATTTAAATCGCGCACACACGCATTTATGCCCGGTTTCTTCACCGTCGGATAACTTTATCCTTAGGATAAACTCACTCTTCATCTCTTTCTAACCTAACTCTTAGAAAGAGATGAAGAGTGAATTTAACCTAAGGATAAAGTTATCCAACAGTGAAGAAACCGGGCATTATTCAAAGAAATCATCTGCTCACAAGTTCATTAATATCTCTACATTCTTATTGCTTTTTTTTCCGTACGACAAAGGGGCAGATATTTATACGTGCATCTATTGCTAAGCTAATATAATTGCGATTAATTTATCGATTTGTGGATATTTTGTCGTGTTGACATCCTAGCGCACCGCTTTCTAATAATCGATGAAACTCGCTTTCAATATTCAACTACGATGTTTAACTGCCACAGGTTCATGTGATATGACAGATAACGAATTAATATAGTAATTATTCAAGTTAAAGCTATCTAAATGGTATAGATTAAGAGATTATAAAATCTTGCGCATTTTTAATTTTTATACCTATTATTTGTTATTTGTTACATATGTGTTTCAGAATCGTCAAATGTTTCTTCTAGTATATAGATTCTTCAGTCGATTTAGTAGAAATTTATAAAAGTTGAACCTTTGACTTTTAAAAAAGAATCTACTTTAATAGAATTTTCGAAGTTTAGTTTATAGTGTTTATACAGATATAATTATAGATAGAGATATAAATAAAAATATAAATAACAATTTTTCTCAACATATTTATCGAAAGAAAATCACAATTAGCCAAGAAACTATAATTAAAAAGATGCAGCCGTATTCCTGAGATATCTGCAATCAATAGTAGTCTAATGTCTATTTGTATAACATAGATTAACTTTAATCTCGGTTTAACTTATCTTTTATTTTTTTTTACAATTAGTTCTAAGAATTAGAAAAAGATAAAAAGCAAGTTAAACCAAGATTAAAGTTAATCTACACTGATAGAAATAGACATACATAACTGGATGCAATTAATAGAAATTTAATAGGTTTTTATTTACATGCAAGTACACAGAGAGTGAAAAAGATAGCAACGAATTAATTTCATGAAAATTATACTTGAAGTCGTATCACGCACGTGGGGTAATTTCACGTTTCGCATATTACGATTCAATTGCAACTATACGGATGAGCAGTAAACCACAAATTTTTCTACCGTTGTAGAGACAGACGGTAGACGTTTAAGTTAGTCTTGCTGCAGATTTAATTGACTTTCACTGCATGAATCTTCTTATCTTTGACGTCATTGTATTATCCACTGCGTTGTTCTAATATCCATCATCAAACTTGATTTTTGTTTTAATCATCTTAATACGTCCGTATTTTTATATTGAAGAATTAGATTGAGAGAGAGAGAGAGAGAGAGAGAGAGAGAGAGAGAGAGAGAGAGAGCGCCGCAAATTCCGTATTGCAAAATGGCAAACATATATATTATAAATACATTATAAATATATAAACCTAGCATAACACATTTAATTTATTAAACAATTTAAATTTTAAATAAAATAAAAACTGAAAACTATAAACTTATATTTTGAAATTACATTTCTTTCATTCTTGGATGAACTTGTTTTGTTAAAATAACACTTTATAACAAGAAGAAATGTACAAAATAAAATTACGCACGAGAAGATCTAATCGTATAATAATTCAAATTAATAATTTTAAAAAAAATTAGATGTATCCTTACCTATCGATCATCGTCCTATGCGAAAAATGCGGTTGTGTCCACATAGGAGGAAGTGCGAGAAAAAGTAAAAACAAATATTTAGGAAAATATAAATTGGGCACAAAAACGCACATGTGTTTACACGGTATAAGATACACTTTGCGGGAGGTGGCGAGTGTATGTCTTACCAGCACTACGGTCGTCGGTATACTGAATGGAACGCGTTGGTTCGGCTCGAAGCTCTGCCTTCACCTCGGAATATATAATCATCGAACCAGCGAGACGCAGGTCGTTGTAAAAATCGCATGCATGTATATTTAAAATCATGCATGTTCTTACGTGTACATCGCTATTGTATTGCAATACACATACACGAATGTATCAGATGGTGGACACGAAAAGTAACTCTTCCTTGATGGATCAATACCATTAAGAATTGTATTAATAGTATAAAAATAATGAACGCTAGTACAGAAGGACTCTTTCAGATTACTGTGGTAAAAGAAGGAGGAAGGGGAGGGGGAGGAGAGAGAGAGAGAGAGAGAGAGAGAGAGAGAGAGAGAGAGAGAGAGAGAGAGAGAGA